AGGACAATTGTCCCAAAGCTTCAATAAATGGCATTGATTCAATGTCACCTGTTGACCAGAAAAGGGGTGAAGGATAGCATTAATTATCTCTTCCTTCTTAAGTAAAACAATCTATGATCAATTCATTTCAAAAAGCTCTTACCTACTGTCCCTCCCAACTCTATGACACAAACATTTGCTGGGCCTTCTTTTCCATCCACAGGGATGACGGCAACTGATTCAATCCAATTCTTAATAGCATCTGTGATGTGAGGAACCACCTAAAATCCACGCAAAATGTTGCCTATACTCTTTTTATGTCACAAAACTCGTCCATTGATTTAGTTAAGTTGATCATTACCTGAACAGTCTTCCCAAGATAATCACCTCTCCTCTCCTTCTCAAGGACAGACTGGTTAAGCAAGTAAAACATCATTTAGCAACTTGTAGAAATCAGATATCCCATAGGCTTGATTCTACACCGAAATAAACCAACCACCTGATAAATCTTCCCCGTGGTAATGTTATTATCCTTAGTGAGTGTCACATCCAGGAACCGCTCATAGTTACCCAAATCTAAATCAACCTTTCAAAAGAAGCAAAGACATAAACTGGTTAACACATGGTCCAAAAAACCATTTATTTCTGGATACTATATCATATGAGCAGAGCAGATTGATAGCAGATCACCATCAAAATTCTTTAAAAAAAAAACACATGTAGATAACCGGGAAAACCAGGAAACAAATAGGAAAAGAAAAAGCACAGGGGAAACCTCTCCACCATCATCCAGAACAAAAACCTCGCCATGTTCAAAAGGAGACATGGTACCGGCATCTGTGTTGAGATATGGATCTGCAAGACACAGAAACAATCACCTATATGCCAAGAATAAAGGAAAATGGAGTAATAACAATAAACATTCCTACTTTCTCCATTACTGCATATTCAGTTTAATAAAAAACATATCACCATGGCCAGTGAACGAAGCCATTACTGAGCAATATTTTCTCAAAAACAAATAACAAAGTTAACTAGGTCTGAAAAGGGAAAACATCAATTACAAAGTTCGACTATCGGTTCGGAAATCAAATAATTTACGCTGCTAGCAACAATCAAAAAAACAACGAGAAAATGTACACAGAGAATCAACATGAAAAACAAGAAGCGGCCGCAGAACGAAAACGAAAAAGAAGAAGAGGTAAAACCGATTTTGATGGAGGTGACGCGAAGACCGCAAGCTTTGAGGACGACGCCTATGCTGCTAGCAGTAACGCCTTTGCCCAGCCCACTCACCACTCCTCCTGTCACCAGCACGTACTTCATCTCTCTCAATCTCCTTTCTCTCCGTAACTGATTTCTTTACTAATGCAGGCAAAATGTTTGTGGTAATGTCCAAGCGGGAAAGCTTTGAAGAAAAAACGCCGAACCTCTTCCTCGATTACGAAACTCAAGTCGTTTTCCAGTTTTGAACTATCAATACCCGCCATGTGAACCAGTCGTATCGTGCCATCGCATCACCAAACCTGAAATTTCCCAATTCGACCTACAACGCATGACATGGATTAGCGCCATTTAAATAATCTTTTCTTTATGTTTTCTAACTCTTATGTTTATCTTGAATAAGATTGGAGTTAAAAAAAAAAAAAGGGAAATAGGATATTTATTATTTATTATTTAAAGAAATAAAAAAATAATAATAATTACTAACATGGAAAAATATATTAAAAGAATTTTAAAAATTTATTTTATTCTTAACTGTGATGCCTAACTTTATCCACCTAGCATAATAGCTTGTTTTAGTTATCATTATTACTATTAATTTTTTATTTTTTATTTAAAATAAACATTTTAGTTTTGATTCTTATTTAAAATAAAATTAATATAATTTAAAATATACTATAAAGAAAAAAGTGGAAGATATCTTTTACTTTAGAAGGAAACAATTCTCTGTTTGCCATTGACAAAAACGTTGACCTTTTATTTCTTCATTTCGTCTTTATAAAATGAAGTTCCTTAAAGAGAATATAATTTTTTTTAAAAGAAAAAAGTTGTCAACCTCAAAATCAGTGGTGGTCATTTTACCCCACAGCTTCAACTGTAAATTCGGTATAATATTTTCGTTTATGCCTGCTAGAAAAATTTATAAAAAAAAAAAAAAAAACGGTAAAAAAGGCCTTCCACAGAGTGTTCAAACAGAGGAATAACATGGTCATGGTCTTTTGTAGTTCAAAAGGATGGGAGGAAAGGGAAAGAAAAAAGTATTCCTTCCCTTTTCATTTTCTTAATTTTCTTTAATGTATTAAAGTGCAAAATTGATTCTTATTTATCTTAATTATGTGTCTAGACATTTTTAATATAAAATTATTATTATCGTAATTAAATAATATTAAATATATATCTATATATATTCTTTTAAGTAATGGATCAACGTTTCTCTCTCCTTATATAAGATGGTGGGTGGTGGTCGTTTTGACCAGTTTTTAGAGTTGGAAAGGAAGGTATCATTTCAAATTCAAATAGAGAAAGAGCCGTTGAGCCTAAAGCGACAGATGGAAGGAGGCATAAGCAAGCTTCGATCTGTGCTTTCATGGGCAGATGAAGTAGAGGAAGAAGAAGCTGCTGCAGTTCAATCGGATCTACAACAAAACCAGAAGCCCAACCCATTTGGCTCTGCAAGACCCAGAGAAGTCGTCCTTCATGAAAAAGGAATCGACTGGAGAAAACTCGATTCCGACCTCTATCGACCTCCCCGGTTAAGGTATTTTCCACTTCAGATCTCCATCTCCCTATCCCTCCACCGTGTTCTCCGTTTGCCGAATCTGATTAACAATCGCTAATCGTGATTAAATGAATAATTCCTTTCAAAATTTACAGAGACGGATCTCCTGCTCCACAAAGAGTGTTTCTCTTCACGCCTCAGGAACAGATCCCTTTGACATTTGTTCCTCCTCTGAGATATCCGCCGAAGATTATCGTGGGTCGTATCTTGGAGACTGGAGAAACTGATCGCCTGAGCATTTTCGCAAATGGGTTGCAGGCTTGTCGATGCCAAAGCCCCCCCATGTCCGAAAAAGAAAATAGATTCGATGAATCCGTAGGTCAAAATAGTCAGCACTCCAAGAGCTTGAGCCCCAAAAGTCAACAAGCCGATGCGCAAGTCTGCTGCATCTCGGAACAAGGGGGAGAAATCTAAGAGCACAGAAGATGGAAATGAAAGAATCGAAGCTTCAGGGTCTTCGAGGAGTGGACTTGTCGCGGAGACCCACAAGCGAGGTAAAAGAAGTAACGGCCTGGACGAGTCAGTTTTGCGAGTCATTAATGGCGGAAAAAATGGTGAAGATTGTAAGGGCAAACGGGAAGGTGGATGGAAAAGAATCGATAGGAGATTTGCACGTAAATCCATGGGGATGGTTGGTCAGAGGAGTAGTAGAGCAAATAATAATGTTCATGTTGTTAGCAAGATCTGGAGGGCAATTCAGTAGGGTTTTGGTTTTCAATTTTCCAAATTTCTTGTTTGAACTTTTTCGTGATGTTGAAGATTTTTCCAAGTTCTAGCAGACAATGATAGAATTCAACCCAATTGTTTCCAACGATCTGCATACGAAATAAACTGTCTGAAAACACTCTATAAAAATATAAAAATTTAAGCCAGTTTGTTTGAACCGTTAGATGATAAAATTTTTAATAGAGTTGTTTGAATCAGTTTGCTGGCTCAGTCTATTACAGGTAAGGCTTTGACCAAACTATATCTTACATTTTTAAAATTTTATTTATATATATATATATATATTTTAGCGGGATATTCTTGTATTTATAATAATAATAGTTATTTATTATATTCTTATATATTTTCTTTTTTGGACCGGGTCTGGGCTAAAGAGGAACAAATCATAAGCTATTATTAACCGTGAAACCGTTATCATCTCAACAGTCTCGAAGAAGTAAAAGGAAACTTCTGGGCTTAATTTGATTGTGTCAAATCAAACAATTGGGCTTAACATATATTTAATTTAGCGGTTGAGGATTTCGGATTCAAATCCAAACCCAGAACCCAGAACCCGACCCAAATGAAATATAAAAGAATTAACCGGCTTTAGCATGTAATTATCAATATTCTCTCTCAAATTAGAGATTTTAATTTTACTATTTGTTAGTACAAAAACTATATATATTATAATACTATTAAATATATATATATATTGTAGTGGAGTAGCGTTGTGGAAAAGTAAAGCTATAGACCGAGCTCCTCGTATTATTAAATAAAAAATATTATTATAAAGTTAAAATAATAAATTGTATTATTTATTTTGATTTAAATTAATATCTATCTTAATTTTTAATCAAATTAATAATATTAATATTATTATTTTAAAATATTACGTATTAAATTTATTACATTAGATATTATATAAAAATTAATTTAAAAAATAAATAAAATTATTTATTTAAAATATTTTATATCATATTTATATTAATATGTGAAATTTTTTATTCTTAAAATATCAATAAAATGTGACTTTAGATGTAAATTAATTTGAATAAAAATATATAAAACAGAGATAAAACGGTTGTTTTAATAATTATTTATAGTATTAAAGAGGGTATGGGGAGTCGAAGTTAGGCACGTGCTGCCACGTCTGCACTTCATCGGGAGTGCTGATAAGTCTGCTCACACTGACCCACTGCTGACATCACATGCAGTGACCCAGCCGACGACAATCGGTTTCGGCGCAACAATACAACTACATACCCCTATCAATTTACCCAATTGCCCCTGTCGTTCTCGTCTTCCAAGTTTCCAGTCTCTTCCCCTTTTTTGCTTTTGTTACAATTCTACCCTCCAATTATTCCTTTCAGATATCCATCTAGACCCTCAAACAATCCACGTAAACAAACACCAACAAATGAAATTCCCAAGCGAGGAATAACGAAGATACTGAGGCAGGCACATTAATGAAATTTCAAAGGAGAGGCAAGGGTGGAAAGGTAAATTCAAATCACCTGAAATTCAAAACAAGACAAACTACTGATGTTATTAAACAGACGTTATTTTTATAGATTTATCTATAAAATCACAACCAAAAAACGGAGCATAACCGCCCGAACGGGAGAGAGAGAGGGAGACAGAGAGAGAGAGAAAGAGATTGTGGAAGCTCGAAAACTCATTCATGAATATGATATGATGTATGTAAGCATTCGCCTCGCTCTCCGCGTCTCCTCTCTGCACAATTATTGCGTGTCGAACAAGCTAACTCACTGAGTCACTCACAGCAGTCAACACCGAGCCTTCCTGTTTCGTCCTCTACTTCTTCTCTTCTAGTCTCTCGCAATGGTCCTGCTCTCGCAGATTCGCAACAATGGTGACCGGAGCTTCTCCTGTGCTCTCTCCGTTGCTCACGACGACGACCTCATCGACTCCACTGAAACGCCGCGTTTCAGCGAGGACCTTGACTCCACCTGCTCTACGCCTTACGTCAGTGCTCCTTCCAGCCCCGGCCGTGGGGCTCCCACTGGTTACTTCTATAGTGCGCCTGCGAGTCCCATGCACTTCATGCTATCTTCTGCTCCGTCAACCACATGCAAGCCATCCGAGCCGGCAGCGTTTCTGCCTGACACGTCGTCGTCCGAGTTTGAGTTCTCGTCGCGTTTCTCAACCAATGGTTCTATAGCTGTTGGATCCATGAGCTCTGCCGACGAGTTGTTCTTGAATGGACAGATCAGGCCCATGAAGCTTTCCACGCACCTGCAGAGGCCACAGATCTTGGTCCCCTTGCTGGATCTTGAGGTCGAGGAAGATGAAGACAATGATAAGAACGATGACGAGTTCAAGCAGAGTGACGAGTCGGTGAAGCGAGGGAGAGATCTGAAGCTCAGAAGTAGATCTCTTCATAGAAAAGCGAGATCGCTATCACCTCTTCGAAGTGCAGAGTTCCAGTGGCACGAGGAGGAGTGCAATAGAGAACGAGATGTCAGCGAGCACAGTTTGGAGTTACGAGATGATGAAGAGACGAAACAGAGCGAGTCGACTCCGTCCGATTCCAGTTCGTCGTCACGGTCGTCGTCCTCTGGTAGGAACTCGAAGAAGTGGATATTCTTGAAGGACCTGTTGTATAGAAGTAAGAGCGAAGGGAGAGGAAACGGGAAGGAAAAGTTCTGGTCGTCCATTTCTTTCTCCCCTTCGAAAGAGAGGAAGCTCCATCCACCTCCATTGACCATCTCCAGGGAGGAGAAACTATCTCTTTCCTCTGATAGTAATAGCAGTAATACTACAGATGTCAAAAAGCAAAAGCCGAAGCAGAAGCTGAAGGAAGCTAAACAGGTTTCTGGCAAAAAGCCAGCTGTAGGGAAACTGGCTAATGGCGTCGCAAAACGACGTGTTCCTCCATCGGCGCATGAGTTGCACTACACAGCGAATAGGGCCCAAGCGGAGGAGATGAAGAAAAGGACCTTCTTGCCGTACAGGCATGGACTATTTGGATGCTTAGGATTCAGTTCAAAAGGGTACGGTGCGCTCAATGGACTAGCGAGGACCTTGAATCCAGTCTCGTCCAGGTAGAGATCAAAGGAATATCTTATAATATATATGAAGAGATTTCAGATTTTGAGAATTAAAGTTCGATATAGCATATACACTTTTACTACTTCTATCCCTGTAATTTAAGATTTGGCATGCTGATTTGTATAGTAGAGAACTAAGAGAAAGCCAAGTTCGGAACCACCATTATTGTGATCTATGTTGGCATTTTTATTTTTAGTTACCCAGGTTCCAGTACGAGTCATTCGTTCCACTACATAATCTCCCTTAGGTAGTCTTCTATAATATCTTTACGGATTCAACTATCTTTATATATTCCTTCTGCTGATAATTACTTATTACTGATTAGTTTGCTGCAGCCATTTCTTGATTACTCATTTATGAGTCATTGCGTTAAATCTTCTGTAGTTGAAAGCAAGGTTCTTAATATCGGATCTAACTTGTCATTTCAATGCTAATCTCTTGTATTTTTGTTTTTGTTGGTACCCTACAATAATTTGCTTATACTGTTTACTTTCTTAGCGTCAAGCACAGTTTATGTTAGCTCTCTGCAGGATGGTGATGGTGGCATCTACTGGGGTCTCTTCTCTTGTCTCGTTGTTTTGATGTGCTTGTGGATGGATTTTTTCAGACATATAATTGAGGGATTACTCAAGTAGTAGGGGATATCAGTGGACCCTTCACTGTAATCTGACCACAAGCCACCCAAAACAATCCCAATGTTCTTTTCCACACGCTTCAGCGATTTGAGTTCTTGCGATTCTAATTGCTTCTCCCCCCTTTTGATAGAATCGTACAATGGAATCGCCGTTATCATTGAACCTAAAGATTTTTAGGTCATAGTTTTATTTTTTTATTTCAGTTTCGTGAGTGGAAATTAGTTTAGTTAGGGGATATAGGTTAACATTATATCTCTCTGTATGATTATTAAAAGAAAAAATTGGACTTAATGTATATCAATATCACTTATATCTATTTTACAAATAATTATATCGCATAAAACTAAGCTTGGCCCACATGGCATGTTTTTTTCTGGTTAGGTAAGGTGTCTTTGAAGGGGGGTTATCTGTGTCAACATACTTGGATTTCGTAGCCGGATGAGGTCCACATACGAGGACTATGGCTTCTGTTAGGTCTGGATCTGACCCACCTTGAAAAGCTTTTTGTATGTGACCTTTTTGGCAGTTTCCTTCCTCTCTAACCCTTGTAATTTCTATTTGAATATATTGATTAGAGGGGTAACGATGCAGGTAGTTGGAGGTGAAATGTTATCCCATTTGACAGTAAGTGGGACGTAATATTACTTCCCTGTGGCCCTTTCTTCGCACCTTGTATAGAATTAGTAATCTTAATTGTAAGTATTGATTCTTAATATTTTATAATCAAAAAATTAGTGTTTTCAATTATTTGTTTTCTAAAAATCTTTTGCCAAATGAGAAGGGGTGTACTTTTCAGTATTTGCAATAAATAGTTAAAAAATTATGAGGTTAAAGCATTAATCATTCAATTGTGGATTTCTTTATTCAAGCTTGAACTTTTTTGCATGTTAAAAAACTGAAGTAAGGCTCCGGAACTGGAATTGGATTTGGAATTGGATTGCTTTAAATGTTGTTTCTATGATTATTTAAATGATTTCAAATAAATTGGTAATTTTCAAAGTAGTTGCATCGTTTGGGGGAGAAGAGGAATATTCTTGTGGGTAATTTAAGTGTTTCTTGAGCTGTTGATCTAAGTTTTGAGATCTGTAATGAGTCTGATGGGATATTGGATGGGCCCCAATGTACGTTAATCATGTTTCTTTGTCAGGCTGGCCAAATGCCAATCTGCAAATGTGTTTAACCGATATAGGTTTGCTGCGTGGTGAATTTTTTCGATGGTGAATCGGTTCAGTCTTATTTAATGTAAGACTGACCCATACTACGTTGCAGTGAATTATTTCGTTATTTTGGCCAACATAAAATCAACCTATATTACATTGTTTGAAAAGAATTAGGATTACTGTTGGACAAATTGTTGGGTTTAATTTCATTTTTAACTTTTTTCTTGTTCTCTTTCCAAACAGACCTTCTAAGACTGTAGAAAGGCGTTTAACAGCCTAAGCGTAAACAAAAAGCATTTTGCTAGTCTCCTAATGCACTGTGGATTGGACAAGTCAGTTTTTGTTGTCAAGATTCTGAAAATTGCAACGTGTGATAAAAGTAAAGTACTGCTATGTCACTGATGTTCTGGAAAAGTTTTTACATCCTCCAAGATGATGGTTTTATTGGGACCTTCTTTTTCTTATAAAAGGAATTCACATGTTGTATTTTGTTAAAATTACCTTAATATCTTTAATACTAAAGTATAAATTTGTTACTTGTTCTATTTGTTTTTGTTCAATTTAATTTTTATCTTTATTTTGTCTCAATTAGTCATTGTTTATTTTTTAAAAAATTCAATTTAAGTCGTTAATGTTATTAATTGTTAATGCTATTCACTTAGACGTCACGTATTAAATTTATTAATGTGATAACTTTTGATTAATTTGATCATAAGTTAAATATTATATCAAATGTCAATTAAAATTTGATGTAGAAAAAATAATTTATCATAGACAATTAACAACTCATGTTGGGTTACATTTGATGGAATAGTACAAAAGAATTGTCCTTGACAACTTTACCATAATATCCTTCATCTCGACTGTTTTAACACATTTCACAGTACATATAATCCAATAGGGAGAGAAACCAACAACATGGAAAACGTCTTCAATGAGTTCCAACTCAATTTATTATAAATTTTTTCTAAGTCCACCTTAATAGCCATGATTCCTCTTCTACCTCATAATATCGATAGTTTTCTACCAATAACAATATTATTAGTAACTTGTTTTTTGATAATAAAACTAATTTGATTATAGATAATAGACAATACCAATTTAAATTGATTCGCAAATATTTTTGTTAATATTTTAGTAATGACATTACAAAAACTTATCAAATTAATATCAATAAAAAGTATCATAGTTATGTTTTTTTATGGATAAAAGTGATAATGGTGTCATTAATTGTATTAATCAAACTCCCACTCTTAAAGACTTAAGTGATAAAATTAATCACACTCTAACCCACTACATCATAATAGTTATAGTAAAAATAGGCACGATAAATCTAATAACATTTGAGATCTTAATACTTTTAATAAGTTTATTCATCTTAATATTATCTTTTGAGGTAATGCAAGTGCAAAGAGCATTACTCATGAGTGTAGAACCATTACCCACCTCTTAAAAAAAGACTTCTAAAAAAATCTTTAACTTCACTCAATATGTTAATAAGATCATTAATAACACTACCTTCATGATTAGTTACACAAGTTATTCATTTTTTGCTATTTTTAACTTTCCATTTATTATACTAATATTTCGTATTTATATATCTGGTACCAATTCATTGTATATACACATTTTGGTATCAAAAAATTTCATACTTAGATCTAAAGTCATTGAATTTGACATATAATTTTTTTTTTAAGAATTTTAAAAACTTCAAATTTTTATTGTAAAAAATATTTTTGGATCTCTGTAATTTTGTTCTATAAATATCTTAACTTTAATATTAATTTATATATAAGTTTTTTTTTTAAATATCATTTTTATTTTTATTTGGGCTTTTTGGATCTTATAAGAGATTTGTTTACTTCTCTCATTTTGAACATATATTTTTCATTTATTAATTATGTAACCGAGAGGTTTTTTGTTTAGGATATTTGATTTAATTGAATCTTTACTCTTCTTCCTACTATATTTTTAACTATAACTATTATACAAAAAATATAAATTCAAGAAAACATCAAACATGGTTACATGCTTGCATTCCCCAATATATATACTTATATATATATAAGTTAGTGGAAATATGAAATCTACTGTTATTCTTTGAAAAGTTAAACATGAAATGAAAAATAGATTATAGAAAAACTGGAATAAATATATTGATGAATAATATTTTTTTTTTTTAAAATCATTTATTATTATATAAAAAATTATATATAAACAAAAAAAAAAAAAAAAAGAACTCCGAAAAACCAGATGTAAAAGAAGAAGTCTGACAAATACACCTTTCCGTATCTGAGATCCAGTTGCCAATCTTTATACCGCACCTGCGAAACACCGTAACTTTTCTCATCGCCAATTTCCTCTGGGTTTTTCTCAGTGCTGTTCGCCTTTTCACTCATCCTAATTATCGTTGCACGTTTCGCTTTTCTCTGGTTGGTTTAATCCACTCTTTTAATGTCCTCTTATATCATTATACTAATTGAATGAAGAATTAAACTCAAGCAAATATGGGACCCGAATCAAGCTCCGCGCCGGCACCGTCATCGGCGACGGCGTCGACATCGATATCGACATCCACATCAACTCCATCGCCGTGTGTAAAGCGAGGCAGAGATCCTGAAGATGAGGTTTACATTGATAATCTTCACTCTCACAAGCGTTATCTCAGCGAGGTTTGTTCTTCTAATCTCCAGAAGTTACGATTTCTTCCTTCTTTTTTAACGCTTTATTATCCACATGTAATTATTTTCCACTTCCCGGACATGGAATTTTCTATCTCTGAGATTTTCTTGTTTCTGTTTCTTTTTCAAATTTTGACGGGTTACGATGGCATATAACTTTGAAGAAGCACCTCCCCGCTCTTCCTCCCCAATTTTCTGCTCAGGGTTTCCAATTGTGCACTTTTGAATTCGCCTTGAAATAAGGCGGCTAATTTCAATTTTCGTGTCTTCTTTTGTTATTTATATAAATATATGTATGTATATAATACACGCACCCTGACATTGGATTATTTTGTCTGATTACCAGTATTTTTTAATCATTCTTAGCTTTTGTTTGTATCTGTGTTCGCATATGAGCTCTTCATTTCGTAAAAAAATAATAACAATAATCTCTGGTACAGATAATGGCGTGTAGCTTGAATGGATTAACTGTTGGAGACACACTTTCTGATAATATGATGGAATCTCCAGCCAGGTCTGAGAGCATGTTCTATCTCAGGTATGAATTCTTATGAAATGGTTGACGAAAGATAAAGCAAATCTTACAAGAGAAACAGGAAAAATCGTTTAGAGATAATGAATGTTGAACCATCCTAGTCATGCTTATAGTTCAGTTCTGGCTACCAAATATGGGTAATCAAAGATTATATTTATCGCACTCGAATCATATGGATTAACTGTTTACTTACAAATTAATATGAATCATTTGTATAGGAATCTAGCTTCCCTAACATATGCACTAGAGTTCAGTTTCCACCTGTATTTTTGGTTTAAAAATGCTAATTCCACAGAATAGGAATGAGAATTCAATAAAAATGGGATAAGGATTGAATGAAAATGTTGTTGTAATTCCTTTTTCAGTTCTTGTTGGGTGGATTTTTTTATTTCCTGTCTGGCTAAAGCATAAAACAGAAATTCCTCTGTAATGAATTAGAACACAAATTGAAATAAACCAAACATAGCCCAAGGTTATTCTTGTGTTCATTGCTATAATGAGGTAAAAATATGGTTTTAGAAACAACATTTGGCAATTCTCTGTCGTATATAGGTTGGTAACAGTCCTTATATTAATAAGACGAATCAGAGCTTCGTTCTAACCTACTAGGGTTTATGATCATGTTGGCTCCAAGGGATGAAAAGAAAACTCCTTTTGATGAATAACTCAAGCTATGCTTGAACATTTGTGGCTCCTAGCTATAGCGTAATTCTAAATCGAACCATAAGGCCTTGATTAATGGTTACTATGCTTCTGCATGTATATTGCATTGGGAAGGATCAACTTGCAGCATTGTCCTCATTCACTAGTGCTAAGGTGTGTCATAAGCATTTCATTATTAATATAGATGGAGACCCTAGTTTAATATGCGCAGAGTTCGTTTAGAGTTCAGAAAAGCTCAAGGAAAATGATGAGGAATTATATATTTATATTTCATAATTATCTTAAGCCCAATTGGCATTTGATTCCTCTTTTGTTTAATTCCTTTCTCTTTCCTCTCTTCTGGTTTTGTCATATTCAATGTATGTTTACAGGGATGAAATGTCCTTGCAATATTCACCAATGTCAGAAGACTCAGACGAATCTAGGTTTTGCGACAACCATATAATTACTTGCTCGTCTCAACCTGACAGCCTGCCAACTAGTCCAGTTTCCCCATACAGATACCAAAGACCACTTGGTGCATTCTGCTCTACTGCTTCCTCCAGTTCATCTTCTTCGCATGGCTGCACTGTTACTTCCGTTAATTGTACCCAGCCTCGTCAACGGGGTTCAGATTCAGAGGGGCGGTTCCCGTCATCACCTAGTGATATTTGCCACTCAGCTGACTTGAGGAGAGCCGCACTCCTGCGGTCTGTGCAGATGAGGACACAACCTTCTATTCCGTCATCTTTTGAATTGCCATTTGGGTCTGGGCAAGAGCCTGTCCATAATATAGAAGTTGAAGAACGGCAATGCTCGTTTATCAAGTCCTTAGTTGATGACAGGGGATATCAAGTTGAGGACTGTCCTCCATTGCGTATCTCGGATCCCGAATTTAGCAGAGAAAAATCGTGCAGGTTGCTGAATACAAATGTGAAGGGGGGTGAATCCAGTCATTGAGATGCCAATAGATTGCAAAAGGCGACTACCTTGCCTTGCACATCTCTTTTTTCTTGAATCCGTTGTGAGATTTCTAGCATTTAGCAGCTAGAGGCAAGCGTCAGCTCTGTTTATAGAAGAACTATCTCTGAAAGATGGAAATCCATAGGTTAAATCAGAAGTTTTGCCCAGAGATTTTGTTTGTTTAGGATGACTGGCCCATTCACTATTATTACCTACTCAAGGCACAATTATTATGCATTAAACAAAACGTGCCCGGGATTATAACCGGTGAACATGTGTGTGTGTGTGTGCGTGTGTATCAGCAGCCATGGATGTTAGTTCTTACAATATTTTGAAAAAAAATAATCCTTCATTCTGATTAAATACAATTTTGTAGTTAATTGTTAAATTGTTTGAGTGGATCAATGGATGATATTTAAAAGTTTTCTGTTGTTTTCGCTCAATTTTCAATTTGTCAATAATGTTAATATAGTATAAATATGACAAATTTAAATAAAATTATTATATTCAATTTAAAGTAAATGTTTTTGTGCTTTAGATTTTTTGCAAGGAGGAAATGTCTCATTACTGTATAATTGGATATAAGGATAAAATTAATTTATGTATTTATTAACTATGACTAATTACTACATATTAAATAATTAAAACCTGGATATTAAATTAAAAGAGAATAATCTGAAGATGTCGTGATCTGAAAAGATCACAGTCCAACAAACTAGTATGTTTAGGTAGGCACATTGACAGTAGTCATAATGGCTATGATGAATTAAAATCTGATCATGTTATCTATACCATGTGGTTGGAGAAGCAAAGAAATTGCTTTGGTAAATCTTTTTTAAAAAAGTACTTTTAAGATTGAATGTACAGACTATTTTGACTATAAAAAAAAAAAAACAAATTTATAAGGGCTCCTTCTAGTATTACGATGATAAATGAATTTCTGTGGCTAATAGTACTCCAAACCGGACTAATGGTATATATTTAAAGAATAATAGTTTCCAAATTCAGAATTTAACAATTATAACAACTAAAATACATGGGCTTACAATTAATAGTGTAAGGTCAAAGCTATAGTAAGACTCTCTTTTTAATATTTCTAACGAAAAAACCTTTTTTTAAGGGCAGATGAAATCGTCCACCACTTAGTCCAAACTTCCAGAAATATTGGAACGTGAATCTAAACATGCTGCACTCCACCATACAATCGAAGCAACTAATTTTTTAGGAGAAAAAGCCTTCTCTCAACCACTTTGAACTTCCACTAATCACATCCAAGAAAATACTGAAATCACGTGCAAGTTCCTCAAAAGGTTAAACTGGTTAAACTGGGCACTAAAATTTCAAATAACTTGTTTGTAGCTTATCTTCATTGGCACCATAGCAAGATAGAAATCTAAAGTTTGTATTGTAGAAAGAGAACATAAATTAACCAGCCGAGAAATCCTTTATGCAAAAACAATTTAAGCCTCGTCTATGTAAAGAAAGGTACAAATACAGAGGGGACAATCCATATGGCCCTGCTGACTAGCTTTTTTACCAAATTCTTAAGTACTAAACTGTGCTTTAATTAAAATAAAGACCGGTAATGATTCAATGTTTAAAGAAGCCTCTGCTTGAGATTAGATTCAAAGTAAATTGGGGATAAGAGAGGTGGAACAAAAATCAATCCTCACAGAAGTAGATAATCACTAACCTATCCACTTGTAAGGGAAACTATAACATGAAAGTTGATAGAATGTTTTTCTTGAGGGTAAACTCATCCGCCTTTGCTGAGCTGATTGACTGCATCAATCAAGAAAAACAAGCAAATATGAGATAGCAGCCTATTATAACTTCCCAACTATTAGTTGTTTCTGTCACTCTTTACTAGATTGATTTGATTTATTTAATGAGACACTGGTTAGACTGAATATTACAAGAAAATACAGTGACATCAACATATTATCTTCACCTTTTCAAGCATGCGTTGGAGCCGCTCAGTCTCTTTCTTGGCATAGTCAGCCCCCTTCTCCATGTATTTCTGAGCAAGTTTGATATATATCTTTCCATGCCTAAGTTTAAAAGGAAAAGAGAAGTCTGGGTATCATATTCTATGCTATTGAGCAATTAGAATCAATTGATTTGAAGAATAAGCAAATTAATGCATATGGAAATAGTCAGCTGATAGAATACCTTCCTGCACAGCCCTTGAGCTTCTCCACCTCCTCTTCTATCCGAGCAAAGACTGCCTTCTTCTCTTCACTGCTAGCAGCCACAAACTCCTTCACCAAGGCATCCAAACTTGCCACTATACCAGCCTACAGAAGAGAAAAGTATAAAAAGTTAGCGAGAAATGATGCTATGGCAGCTTTACCTTTAAAACAAGTTCCATACATTTGAAGTAAGTTCTCCTTTCCCATCACGGCTGGTGCCACACTTTTCATTAATGAAAATTACAAAGTCATCTAAATCCCTGCCGCCTTCATATTCCTCACCAGCTTTGTTTCCCTTTGGGAAAAATTTCAAAGTTGGGAACCCACTAATACCGTATCTGCACAAACAACACTTGCCTCAATATAAATTCTTACGGTGGCAAAAAAAGAACAGTATCTATGGCATATCAATAGCTAAGAAATCAAACACCAACTTTTCAGCAAGATCCTTGTATTTATCAGCATCCAGATTAGCAATGACCACATCTTCCTCTGACTTAAAAACTGTGGCTACCTTTTCATAGGTCTGCAGGAATCACAAATGGGAAAAAATTGCAGATCAATATTTGTTCATGGTGATGAAAAACAAGTAATAATTGGAAAAAAAAAAAGCGCACTCACAGGAGCAAGGTTTTTGCAATGACCGCACCTGATAAAGCACATTCAAAAAATTAACCATGAGTTTCATACTTTTAGTAGTGACTGGAAAATATCATACTTTTAAGTACCAAGGTTCTCAAAGCATGATAACAACAAAACATATCATCCATGCATACCATGGGGCATAAAATTCAACCAAAACATCTTTCGTCTCATCCAGGACAACCTCATCAAAATTATCAGTCGTCAGAACCACCACATTGGAGGGGACTGTAGCTATCTTCACATTGGTCCCTGAAAATCATCAATGTATTTAGAGAATTTTAATTCAAGGAACTAATTAAAAAGACAAACAAAGAGGATATGACATTTTCAAATTCTTCAAAAGTGCAAAAATTTATTTTTTTTCAAAAAAAAAAAAAAAACTAACACCTCTAGACTCAGAAGACAGCAAACCAACCATAAAGACATGCATCCTTCAAACATCACTTGACCGGGGTATTCACATCAAACAATAGATTTTTCCATGCTCAAACTCCAGAAGTTGCAAAAATTGTAAATACGATAATGAAACCAAGAGGTGTAATTTATGTATGTTCAGTCAACCCCTTGTGTGAGAGATTTGACAGAAAGGACAACTACCTCCTTCAGTATCACAAACTCGACCAGAGCTTCAGCATTCGTGGACCTTCATACCTGTTATTAGATGTATATTTTCATTTAGTTACAGCACTGTATTTGGAGACTTGGAAACGGATGTTGAGCTATAAACAAATTATTAGGGTTCCAGGATGTGGTCCAACAGGTTTGTGTATACTTACTTTTTGGGCTCCAAAGAACCCTTAGAAAACCACTGAATGGTAGGGTATCCAGAAACCCCATATTTGCTGCACAAGCTCTTGTGCTCATCGCAGTCCACCTATAGCACATTAACCAAAAGAAGGTTAAAAAGTATCGACAGACTCCCAACTATAGTGCAATTAACCATAGAAGGTTAAGAAGTATCAACAGACTCCCAACTAGTAAAGAAACAAGAAGATTTTTCAGACACGAGCCTGAAAAAATTACAATATACTTCACAATATGAGAAGACTCTTTTGTCCATGTGAAGTGCAATATCATCGCACAAAAATACTGACGAGGAGCAACTCACTACTGATAAGAAATTCTATGATCCAAAGGCACAGGAGAGCTAACCTTTCCAATCACCACAGACTTAGCTTTCTTAAAGCTTGCACCGAGCTTTTCATATTCCGGAGCAAGCTTTTTACAGTGCCCACACCTGTCATGGTGGAGGATAACAAAAAAAGAAAAAGAAACACGACATAAGATCTTCATTGAGAAAAAATAAATAATTTCAACAGCATAACAGTATTTTCATAAAAGTCTAACGAAGCTTCTAATAAATCCAGTGAAATTCATTGAAGTGGATTTTGGCATTTTTACTATTCTCTCTTTTGATTTTGGTCTCCATTTGTTTATGGAACTGGATCATTCAATTCAGACTGACAGTAGTTATTCGACCACATCATACTTATTTAGAAAGTGTATTTAAAAGACTGTTAGTGTGATATGGAGAAAATTGAGAATCGTATCTATTCTACATGTTTGCTCAACTGAAATTCGGCTCTTAGAATTTAGAAGAAGTTTCTTTCAATATTTCTGTAAGGTAGGATTTTGGACGAACTTAAAAAGAGACAATATGCACGGCCCCATAGCCAATAGCTGTCTCCATAAATTCCTAAAAGCCTCATCCGTTATTTATTTTCTTTCTTTTTAACTGTATTTGTCGCTTTTCTGTAAAGCGCAATAACAGAATAAACATCTCTACATTTTCCGCCTAAATTTCACCACAGGAATCTAGTCTCGTATCTGTTTACTTTCAAAAATATGCTCATCCATAAACAGGAAACCACAGAGCTGGTACAACAAAGAGAGATTAAAATATAAGGCACGAGCTTCCTCGATCGATACAAATAATACAATCTATTACTTACTTCAACAGTGAGATTTTTCACGAGAAATCGAGAAAAATTGCAGATCCATATAGCAATTGCGATCATCATATAAGATCTCGAATCGTAAGTTAATTTGAGATAGAGTGATAGATTATACCAGGGAGCGTAGAACTCGACAAGAGCACCTCTATCCTGACCGACCTCCTTCTCGAAGTTTTCCTCGGTGAGCACGACGACATCGTCTGCGAGAGCGGACACCAGTAACAAGGCCACAACCACAAAAGTCAGCCAGATCTGAGACCTCTCCATTTTCTATCTTCCTTCTTCGATTTCTCTGTTTCCACTTTTCACTCTTCAGATTTGTATTCCTAAGTTGGGATGAAGCCGAGCCTTCAAAGCTTTATATAAATTATACGAGCCTGTTGTTCTGTTTGAAGTTTGAAGTGGTTTTTGGTTGGATTTTTCATTTCATAAGAAGAAAAAAAAATGTACGAGCAGCCTCACTTTGTTATCGTGAGTCTACGATTGATTTATTGACGTGGCGAAATTCTATGCGTACGACTAATAATGGTTTTAAATCCACGACATAGATGAATCGTGATGATGGTTGTTGTTCCTTTACTTTCTACCGCTCATTGACGTGTTTTCGCTGACGTGGCATTCTGTAAGAGGCTGCTCTGTTGTCAAGCGGGTCCCATTATAGAGAAAATAAAATCAAACGTAAATGAGAAGTTATTGGAGTTTTGTATCAATTTTTTACCATTCAATTTTTTATGTTTTGGATAAATATTATAAATTCAATTTAGCAAATTACTTATAATATTAAAATAATTATTAACTCTAATTTAAAATATTTATAAAGCATATATCATAAATTTTTGTAAACAAGTAAATAGAAAAATAAAATAATTTTAACTGAAATTATGAAAAATAGTCCTTCAAGATCGTTCGTTTTTGGACCAAAATTCTATCAAATTTTTTAAATATATTTTTGAATTTTTATAATTTATTTGTATTTATTTTGAGGAAATATTGATTTGTGTTTTGATAATAAGTTTGATAATTTATTAAATTTAATTATAATATTTACTAACAAATAAAAACGAATTGTAATTTTTTAAAATAAAATTGTAGTTGTCATTAGGCCCAATATATAAGAATTTCGCATTAATTTACCCAACATGAAAGTTATTGTTGAGTCATCCGAGAACTTGGGCCTATATGGGCTCATTTCTCTTGGTATGACCCCTTCTTAAGAGTTCCGAACTGTATAGGCCTCTTTTTTTTTTTTTTTTTTTATTTATGACAACTTAGACGGTTTGGTTGAGTCATTTAATAGAATATTTATTTTATGCGGATATATCATATTTTGTTATGATAAAATTAACTTAATCACTTAAATCAACAACGTACTAATAAATTAAATTATTAATTTTTACTAGGTCAATCATTATGAATTAGTTACTAGTCAATTTATAATATTTTCAGTGAGATTGTAAATTCATAACCTTCACTAACACACTAATAAATTAAATCAATAATTTTTACTATATCGAATATTATGTGTTCGTTACCGCTAACTTATGATCTTCTCGGTAAGATTGCAAATTCATAACTTTTAATGTACATAACATAAAATTTTGGATTATTAAATTATTGTATTGATAACTAAATTAGTGTGACGCTCCTGCTCTCATTTGAAAGGATTAGAGTCGTCAAATATCAAATATGCAGCTAAAATACAATTAACAAAATGTTTATAGATTTAAAATATTCATCATCTATTATTTGATCACATTGTAATATTGTTCACAATATATAATGTTCGTATGATATAGTCAAAACAAAATAGATATCCGTTTGGTTACCAAATATGATTTCCGTTACATGTACTCATATAGTTTCTTGATTCGGTTCAGGAGTGAGATCCTCCTTATCTACAATTGGAATCTCTTGATATGGAAAGATGATAATTTAATGGGTTGAACAATTTCAACACATTCAGTAAGTATAAAAAATAGATTACACCTTAAGCATGCAACATATAGTCAAACAATCAATCAAAGATGTAAAACTTTTTTTTATCTTTTTATTTGAAAACAATGAAATATAAAGATATTCAATTTCCTATCTCATCTCTTATTGTTTCCCCTAACTTCCTTCTCTTTCTCAAAATCCTCATAGATTTATGTATTATCTTTCTAAATTCTCTTAGACTCATTTTTCCTCATAATCTCTATAAATTCATTTTATCCCATAGCTTTCCCTCAAGCCATCTTTTATCTCTCGAAATCACCACCAGAATTTTTTATAAGTTTTTAGTCAAATTGTGACATCCGTAATCCCTCAGTGGGTATCCCCAATTCTCGATTTGCCCCAACATAATAATCAAATTGAAGTTATTAAAGTTTTAGAATTTTTTTTAAAGATTGAACGGATGTATCTATTATCAAATTGGTACTATTATAAGATTAAGATTCTTATTATCACAAGGGGAAGCACACACAAACAATACATACACATTGGTCACAGCAGTCCGTCACCAAGTAACCTAGAACAGAATACACGTTTCAACCACCTTTGAAAGGATTTCCATCCACCTAAATATAAGGTTCATCACATCGCTAAATTTAAGTAATATCAATCTTAAACGGTTTATCTCTAAATTTTTGCTTCTTTTAATTTTCATATTGTTTTATTTTCTTCTTATTCTAGTTAAAATTGATATTTTATTTTGTTTTATTTCACAATAGAAGTTTCACTTGTCACTCTTCCCTTCTCTTTTCTAACTAATTCCCCTTTAGAAATTTTATTTAATAATTTGAATTTTTTTTAAATATTCGTTTACTTTATGTAATTCTTTATAATTTGTTAATATTATATATATATTTGCTATTATTATTATTATTATTTTATTTTATTAGTATTTCTTATATTATTATTATTATTATTTAATTTGTTATATTTTTTTATTTTTAAATCTTGTCCATACTCTAATTCCTTTTATTATAACTTAATTATCTATTTTCTCATTTAACAACTTGAATCTAATTTTCTTTTATTTCTAATTTATTTCCTTTCTATTTTTTTTTTCATCTACTTAATTTTTTAATTTTAGCAACCCATTTTTCATATTTTTTAAATTTTTTTCTTTCAAGGCAATTTATACATATATACGTTATATAAGCATCATGCATGCATTCAATTAATTCAATCAAGTAAATAAGAGTTTAAAAACATGATAAAAAAGCATCAAAATATCTAAACAAATAATTTGAGAACCATTCCCAACGATTTGAACTGCTTGGATAGGTTCTGAGATGGGTTTTAAACCCAGCTCACCGCCCCGCTTTGGAAGCTTGTAACTTTTTATCCGGTCTACGAAATCTAATAAAATTTATGTTATGTAAGTTTTGGGTTACCTATTAATTATACTTACAATTTAGAAGTCCTTACAAAGTGATATGAACTCCAAAAATGTCTTCCAAATTGAGAATAAATCTGTAGAGAAAAATTTATTCTTGGGTCACTGATAAACCTGTAACTTGCATGCGATTTGTCATGCATGTATGGCCTTATTTTGGTTTAATTTGAACTTCAAACATATTTTATTACATGCAGACTATCTTTAGAGCATTTTTTAATTAAAATTATAAATGGAGCTCTGGAAAATTACTTATCAAAATATTAGTTTGATCACGCATTGGAGTTGTAGGTTGTTGAAAAATTCAACGAGTTTTCGTAATTTTCAACACTGGTTGGCCGCAAATCGCCCTTCTCTCAGTGGTAGACCCTCTGTTGGTGATCTACCTCTCTTTCTCATCTTTTTTCTTCTTTCTTCCATTGAAAATGGTGGATTTCAACATCTCCTTCTCTTATTCTTCCTTTCTTCTTTTTTTTCTTCTTCTGTTTGTTTGTTTTTTTTTTGTTTCTTTTCCTTTCAAATCGGGGTGGGTTGAGTGACTTGGATGGGTTTTTAAACCCAACACTCAACAAATGTAGACCACACAAACATCGTACGCGTAGCTGCAAGCGGTCCATTGGACCGACCTTCATTAATTGCAGAATCGTAATTTTGTCATCCTGTTCCTTGAACATTTCAATTATGTGACTATTGAATCACCTCAAAAAGCATACAGACCGTCTGATTGGCATCTTACACGTGGACTGTTGGATCATAATCATCTCTTCTGCATGCTTGGAAGTTGTTAGATTTGATTGTCAATGATCTTAAAGTTGGATTTTTTCAAAATGCGTAGGGCTGTTGGATCACAATCATCTCCTCTGCATGCCTAAGAGCCATGGATCTGATTGCCAACGATCTCACCGTTTGATCGTTTGACCACCAAGGCCCGCTTGGCTGACCAAGCAGCAATCCCTCATTGGTCCGCTGCCAAGTCACTGATTGAACCACTCATATTTCAAAAATTACAAAATAACCCAAATTTTGTATTTTGACCCCTAAATCAATTTATAAATTTACAAAGGCCCCCAAATAAATTTAATTTTGTTCAATCTACTCTCTAATTTTATTTTTAGCATATTTTGGGGGAAGTTTTAATTTTATTTATTTTTTTCATGATTTAATTTATATATAAACTAATTAATTGAATTTAAATCTATAAATTAATACTTAAAATTTACATGTGATGTTACAATTAGATTGTATTTTATTACATAAAACAACATGCTTTATTTTCAAAAAGATAAGATTTTGTCAAACTACTCTTGTCTCGAATTTGATCTTATAAATTGGGAAATTATCTGAATTTAATCGAGTCATTTGAATTTTAATCCTATTGAGTATTCAAATATTTATAATAAAAATTAGAAATTAAAAATTATTTAACCAAAATATCTCACATATCTAACATGAATCTACATAAAATTTTTACTAAAGATGTTAGTGATAATTGAAAATCATAAAACAATATAAAAATTATTGGCTAATTTAAATAACAAAAATAGCGGGAACTAAAATAATAAAAAAATTTAATACACGAATCAATTTAACTATTTTAAAATAGTACAAGAATCAATTTAACATGTGTAATACCCGTGCCAAAATTTAGCTTGGGATTAATTTTAACATTCTAAAATGTATAAAAATTTATTTTTTGAAATTAATAAATTTTAATTTAATGTGAAATTATAAAAAAAAATAGGTTAGGAATGAAATCAAAAATATTTTTGGGAAAAAGATGTGAAATTTTGGGTTCGGATGGTATTTTTGAAAGAAAAATAAAAAATTAGAGGTAAGAACACAATTTTAGAAAATTGCAATACCTAAGACCGCCCAGTCAGCAGTCTCGACAAATCAGAGCACGCTGCGTGGCAAGGCATGCTGACTCGGTGCCACACAGGAGGCCACACTGGGGATCCGTGTTCCCCACAATCGGATGATCCAGACGCCTTCCCACGCACGTGGACGGTCCGGAT